CATGTTTCCTTGTCTCCTACGGGTTATATGCATATGGGTAGTTTGCTAACGCTCAATATAATTGTACATGATCTACATAATGACTAATGGTTCTATGGAACGAAAAGGTAAAATTTGTTTTTAAACAACTGAATTATAGGACTTATCTGTCGGTAAAAGCTAGGACTTTTGATCATGATGCTCTTGGCCCTCCATAAGGACTTATTTGTCGGTAAAAACTAGGACTGACAGTGCAACCGTGAGGGTCACATGGCTCTGACTTTAGCTCAGTAATAGGATCTTTTCTAGCTTGTTAGAGGTTACCTTTATGGCGCAAAAGGGGCTTACCACGTTGGGTATAGGACTGCCTCTGTTCCTATGTGTATAGCCACGATGGAAATGTGTCATAGGAAAGGGGGGTTCCTACATCTGCCTGCCGAGGAAACCTAGCAGCCCTAACTTGTTAGAGAAACCTATGAAATGGCTTCATAGTGTACCCCGCCCACTCACCTTGGCAGTGTTATGGGAGTAATTAACCTGGGCATATGGGAATCACGACTCACGGTGAATGTGCACAACCTCTACAGAGTGTTACAAACTGTTATAATAGCCGTGCTCACGGTCACGAGCGGCCTGGAAAACTCACAGAATAAACGGTTACTTATTGTTGTACATTTATGATATTCTACGATGATAATATGATTCAAATGATTATGATATCTGATCATGTGGCTTTAATTTGGGCTTAAGCATAACTTGATAATAGTTGAAGATAAAATCTTGACTTACTAAAAGTGCTAACCGCAGTAAACCAGAGTCACCCTTTTTGAGCTTTCATAACCCCATGTTATCTTGTTAAGTACGGGAAGTACTTACGCTTGTTTACTTTCAATATTGGATAAAAATTCCGGATGGGTAACAGATGTCAACGGATATGAGGAGTTTCCAGATGACTTTTAGGCTTGTGGTCAACTAGTTGACCGTCCCTATGTTGGAGTTACCACGAGAGATTACCTTTTTATTTTCCGCTGTGTTGTGTAAGACTATGTGATTGTATTAATCGTGATGTAAGATACACCGTGATGATACTTATTGTAATTTGTCAACTTATGTGTGTGACTAATCCCTGGGCACACATGAGTTTTATGCATTCAATTTTATCCTTAAAATTGGGTATGATATTGGGCTTTACGTGATTTTCATTGTATAATCTGTGACGGTCAATTTTGATGTACACATGACGTTTACATGGCAACTCAAATCTGTGACGGAGAAACATCATACATGGCATTCTACGTGGCAGATGGCTATGACAGTCAATTTTGTCACACACTATCGGGCCCAGCCTAGGCTAAGTGGGCTTTCAGGGATTCCATGATGAACAAAAATGCTAGTCTATGAGGGTTCACTTAAGTCCAGCAAAATGTATGACGCGGGATACATGACCTTTTTTTAGATCGTCGTGGTAAGTTAATCATGACGATTTTTTGAGTGTTTATGACCAAAGTAGAACGTCATGTATCACCACATTTCTTGTAGACCGTCGGAGGCACGGAGAAAGCTATACATATATATAGGCTATATATATATAGTGTACATATATAGTATACATATATAGTATACATATATGGTTATACTATATATGTAATAACATATATATGGACCATTTAGTATTCGTATATAGTATACATATATGGTAGACAGTAGATTGATGTATACATACGTACCTAGAGATCATGTACAGTATGTACCTGGAGACGGTAGATTGATATGTGATAGGGTTGATGAGCTGCTCCAGCTTGCACGCGATGGACAGGAAGGCCACACTCACCAATTCAACCATCTGCGTGCGTCTCCCACCGCTGCACCAGGCATGAGTTCATTATTGATGGTAGAAAGATAGATACTACCTTTGTTCACAAAAAAATATAATTCTAGATGATTTTTGGTTAATACGTCTAAAGTCTAACCAAATATATAGAAAAAATATTATTTTTTATGACACCGAATAAGTATAGTATGAAAATATATCTCATGACAAATCATACTTATGAAATTAATGCATGAAATTAATCCTACTCCCTAGTGGACACTGTAGCAGCGCCGCCAGTCCCAACTAATGAAATTAATGCCTGATCATTCAATTCTACTAATGTAAAACGTATTAATTGAATTTGGTACACATCAAATGCCTGCTTATTTTTTAATAGGGTAGCCATGTGTATCTAATCTGCTAACCAGGCCCATGCCATAGTAACATCAACAGATATTGAGTTCCAAAAAAACTTACAGGAGACCATGTATGCTATACATATATGGTGTACATATCATACATATAGCATATATATATGGTTATACATATATCCTATGTGTATAGCATATACACTATATAAGCTTGTGACATATTATACACAGCTTTGTATATTTACACACATATAGTATATACTATATATGTTACCCATAACATATAGGGTAATGTTAGCACCTTAACATATGTATAGCATATACATTGTATAAACTTGCAATATATTATACGTAGCTTTGTATATTTACACATATAGTATATACTATATATGTTACCCGTAACATATAGGGTAATGTTACCACTTTAACATATGTAGAACATATACACTGTATAAGCTTGTGACATATTATACGTAGCTTGGTATATTTACACATGTAGTATATACTATATATGTTACCCATAACATATAGGGTAATTTTACCACCTTAACATATGTATAGCATATACACTGTATAAGATTGTGACATATTGGGTGTGTTTGGTTACATGGGCTACCCTAGCCTGCCTAAAATTTTAAGCCAGGCTAGCTAGAGCCAGCTTTGAGCAATGTAACTAGCTAAGCCTGTTTAGGATTGTTTTTGTTTGGTTGCCTGATCTAGCGCCTGCACACGCTCAACTTGTCCTCCGCCCCTTCCCCTGCACCGGCGCACTTGCCCTCCACCCTTTCCCCTGCGTCAACGCCTGCACCCCTAACCTATCGCCAGACGTCCGCCCGCTGCTCGGTGGGGGCCCTTTCCCTCCCGTGGAGCTAAATGTTGGCCGGAACTGGATCTTGGCCGGAGCTCAGGAAGATGGAGGTGCGTTGCTGCTCCACCTCGTCGTCCATCCTCGGAGGGGGGGCCACGGCGCCGCTCGGAGGTTCGTGAGGGCGGTGGTGCTGGCGCACATGCTCCCGCACCCGGCAGCTACGGCGGCCAAGTCGACCCAATGTAGCCGCGCAAGGGGAGTGGCAGCCGGTCCCGTGGTGGTGCTGTCGCAGAGGGAGGCCGCCGTGGCGCCGCGCAACCTCTTCCTCGGCCTCGTCGCAGAGGAGCGCTCCTCGGGCGGCTTCCTCTCGTCGGGGATGGTAGACGGCTTCCTTATAGCACCAGCGCTCGCCCCTCTCCGTCGTGCCCGCCCCTCTCCGCCGTGCTCGCCCCTCTCTACCGCACCCGACTCTGCACCCGACAGAGCTCGGGGAGACAGGAAGACGGTAGCCGTGCTCGCCCCTCTCCGCCGCGCCCGCCTCTGCAGCCGTGCTCGTGTGGGCCCCGCATGCTAATACAAGCCAGGCTTGCTGAAAACGGAGCACCCGAACGTTTCCAGCAATGCAGGCTCGGACCCTCCTTTTGGCTTCCACAAGCCTAGCTTAGGGGCTAGCCAACCATCCAAACACGCTGAGCCTGCATTATGGAAGCCTGGCTAGGCCCTAAGCCAGGCAACCAAACACACCCATTATACACACCTTATATTTACACATATAGTATATACTATATATGTTACCCATAACATATAGGGTAATGTTACCACCTTAACATATGTATAGCATATACACTGTATAAGCTTGTGACATATTATACAAATAAAGGGTAAAGTTATCACCTTAACATATGTATAGCATATACACTATATAAGCTTGTGAATATTATACATAGGTTTGTATATTTACACATATATATACTATATATGTTACCCATAACATATAGGGTAATCTTACCATCTTAACATCGGCTAGTGACGTCTATGTAATAGTCCTATAGTATGGGCATATAGTATATGCTTATGCCTAAACAGATACCCTAAGCTGCAACTCCCTTGGTGTTAAGCACTTGCATTAAGCATAAGCATGTTTATGCATAGAAAACTTTCTTTTAAAAAAAAGAGGTTGAAAAAGATTGCTGTCACAGAGTAACACCTTTTTAAGCTCAGCTTAAACCTTTTCAAGAAAGGACAAATATTTTTGCTAATAATAAAAATGTGCATGAGTAGTGTTTCTTAAGTGCTTTTCATAAACGAGTACATCTCGATCATATGTGGTCTTTTCATAATGTTTGAAATAAAATTAAAAAGGCACATAAAATGGCATCAGTTTTCTCTCTTTGAATCACTTTTGTAAATAATTTCAATATGTGTGGTGGCAACAAACCTTGATATTTTGCTTAAACACCTCTAAATAAACTTTTGAACAAAACTTGTTTAGGGTTTATGTTGGAAAAATGTGAAGAAAATGTCTCAATCAAAGTTGTAGTTTACACTGTGGTGAAGATTTTTTGTACAGTGTTCGAGACCCGAATATGCTTGGAAGCTTTTGCAGTGTCTCCAAGAAAAGCACATGGGCTCTACCGTCTGCCATCGCCCATGCCCTGCCTGCCCTGCTCATAGTCACCGTGCCCATGCCGTGCCCGCAGCGTCCACATGCTTGATGAGGGTGCACGATAGGGTCGCCATGGCTGCCAGAGCACCGTCGTCACCGCCGTGATTGATGAGGGTGCAGGATAGGGTCGCTTGTTTGTACATCTGATGGCGATCAGCCAGGGTTAATTATATAAGCACATGGACATAATTTTAAGTTTCTATTACTATAGAACAACACATTGACAAGGACAGCCAGATGGAGAAATAATGAGTTGGCTTGATGCATACGGCAAGTGCAAAATGAATTAATTGAATCTGGTACACATCAAATGCTAGCTTTTTTTAATAGGGCAGCCATGTGTATCTAATCTGCTAACCAGGTCTATGCCACAATAACATCAACAGATCTGCCAATGTGCAAATTATAAAAACTGAATTGAATTACTGAGCAGAAAATATATTATTGTGGCAAGACCGTCATAGAAACATAGATTTACCTGATAAGGCATATCTCAAATAACACATTTTAAAACAGGGAAATTAAACTTGAGTTTAAATAAACTTACAGCTAGGTTCGGTAAGCTTCAGAGTTGGAAAGCAAATGTCATAAAGTACCTCATTGTTAAGAACCATGCACTCATCAGCATTCTTAACCAACTGATGGACAGACAGTGTTGCATTGTATGGATCAAGAACAGTGTTCGAAACCTTGGGTGAGGGAAACACAGAAAATGTGAGCATCATCCGATCAGGGTACTCCTTCGTGATCTTTGAGATGCGAAGGTTGCCCATTCTAGATCCAGTGCGTCCTCCAAGGGAATGGCAAACATGGAAGCCTGATCACAGCAAGTTAAGAAAATTAGTGAGTTGCAGCCTACACAGTGTAGAAGCAAGTTAAATTGCACTATGATACCTTGCCTTCTACGGACTGCATACAGTTTCTGTCTTTTTTACTGTATTAATTACAACAGCTAGCTTAGTCGTATAGGCTTGTCTTCTACGGACTGTAATTTTTTTTTAATTACAAGTGTTTTTGCACCACACCTTTAATCAAAAGGTAGACACAGGCAACTCATCAACCAAACGTTGCCCCACCCCTTTCGCTCACCTAGGCATAGCTCCAGAAGTTCAATGCTGTAACATCCATCGATGAGTTGTTTGCTATGACCTCATTGATTTTCATATCAGCCATTCATTGATTCAAAATCGTATTTAACCACATCTCCGCTCATCACATACTCTTTTTTTCCTTTCTGGCCGGCTTTCCATGTTTCTATCTATTCCATTTAACTAACCAGATTCGCTACATATCAATCTTTTTTCTGCAAGGTATAGAGATGGCTACCCTATTTCTGGACAACGTACCTGCGCTTTAATTGGGGGTTGGTGCTAGTGTTCTTGGGGCCGCATCCTGCAGCCAAGTTCTCTCTTGAGAAGAATTTTATATAATTATGGACACATTGGAAACTAGTCTTTTTTGCAAGGTCCCAGAAAGCCCTGTTTAAGTGGGGTGTGGTTTACAAAATTGGGGATGGCAAGGTCTATAAGTTTTGGCAAGATTGTTGGTTACATGAAGTTCCTCTGAAAATTTCCTATGAGGAACTGTACAAGTTGGTAAGGGTGCGGTTTACAAAATTAGGGATGGCAAGGTCTATAAGTTTTGGCAAGATTGTTGGTTACGTGAAGTTCCTCTGAAAATTTCCTATGAGGACCTAGACAAGTTGGTAAGGGAGCCAGACTGTACAGACAGTGAATGCTGGGTGGAATAGAGTTGGGATGTGTAGTTTAGAAGATCTTTAATGGTGCAAGTTCTTAGGCCTATATTTGGCAGAGCTCCAAGTATCCCAAACCAGATCTGAAGCATCAGATCCACCGTAGAGCAGCTCTGAGAAAGGAGCTACAGTTAAAAGAAACGGTTATCGAAAGATTTAAATGATGAAAGAAAAAGAAAAAAGAAAAAGGCTACATGCTTGATTTATTTTAATTAAGCTAAATCATAAAAAAGGACACTAGTTCAGATCAGCCAAGTTATATATGTTAGTTTGAAAACCGGGTTAAAACTAATCATATTTTATTTATAAATATTATCATATAATTTAACTAAGATAAACTTTAACTTTGCAAAAGAAAAGTGCATATAAGAGCACCTATTCGAATTTTCTATACTCGTGTTTAAGCTAAGAAAATTTTAGTTTAAAACACATTTGCATATATATTAATCACATTGACTTATAGTTTACAAAAGACTTGCATACAAACCCTATGCAAATCTTAATTAGAAAATTACGTGCATAGAAATTAATAAACTTAATATTAATATAGAAAACCAGAAACATTTGATATGGTAAGAGATGCTGTTAGATTAACACGTAGCTTACGCTGGCACCAACGCAACAGAAACAAAAACGAACTAAAAACGAATAACGGGGTAGGACTTAAGCTGCAGACTAGATACTGTATACGGGTATGCAATTTCATAAGTTGACAAAGACTTTAGCTTGTACAGAAGTAAAGCTTATAGAGGGATGCAAATTAAATGGATCGGGAGACCCTATAAAATACAAAGTGACAGGAACTCACGTACTACATCGGTGATTTCTGACAAAGTTCTGTGGCGCCACTGGTGGGCTTGATCGTACAAGAATGGAGGCACCCAAAACTGCTCGGCTTCGATCGTAAGCATCCTCTGCAGCAGGTGACTTGACCAGGGCCGTCCGGTAAAATATCAAATTCTCATTTAGGCCCCAATTATAAATACTAAATAAATAAATAACAACAACAATAGTCATTATTCATTGTATTACTGCTTGTATGACCTATTGATAGGCCCTTTCTACAATCAAATCAGCATCCATATTCCTTTTTTCCCCTTTTTTCTATGCTTTTCATAAACATAGTCATATTTTCAAACCCAACTTTTAGAACACAAATCTTAAAATATTGGTGCAATAGAAAAGAACAAAATTAACACAGTTAGAAATTCAAGAACAGTTCTAGCCTTCTAGGGATATGCCAGTAAGCCAGTTGGAATATATCCAGCAGCCACAGATGAGATAGATGATAAATGCGAGTATATCAACATAGATAGGAGACTTCGTTATGTTTGTTTGGTTAAGTTGTGATTATTTGATTGAATCGTTATCTCATCTTCTGGATTTGGTTGTTAGTGCCCTCGACCTGGACACGAATGCACACTTGGCAGCCTCCCTGGACAGACAGGCACGCGCGCAAGGGGAAGATGATGTCGATGATATTGCAGTATTCATGGTTTGCCAGAATTACATTAAATTAATTATATTTTAGTGAGCAACTGAGGTACATGATTCTACACTTTAACTAAAGCCACCTTCCAGAAGCACAGGTGGTTTATAGTGGCGCAATAGGCGATTGATTTAGCAATACTATACCCCAAAGAAATATGTTTACTCAAATTCTGTCTACTCCTTGATGAAGGCATAAAGATGAGACACATTCTGATGCGATGTATATATTATACACATGAGAAAGTGATTCTATAAAAGAAGTATATATTCTAGATACTTTTATAGAGGTATAGTACTGTTAATTTTGTACGTACTGCTATAAAATGATTGTACGTATATATAGACGACATATACTTCCAAAAAGAAAAAGTAAACATACCCATAGTTACATCAGTTAGAGTCAGATTGTTTGCCGATGCCAATATAATAAAATGTGCACAGTATATATAGAGAGAAGGAAAACACATGCCGCGCATATATTCGATATAGAAAATTACCGTCCTAGTCCCAGGAGCTTCGTCTCGTTAAGGGACTTTGATTCAGCTGTTTCACCTTTTCCAATCCTGTAGCTAGATGCCTGTATGTTTAAGATAAAGCTTAATAATGACATGGAAGTGCAAGGACGACCTGCAAGTAGGTGCAGTGGAGGCCGGCGGTCGGAGGGCGACCCGAGGAGCGGGGAGTAGGGGTAGACGCCGAGACCACGGCTGTCACCTGCAGCACCGGCGGCGGCGAGCCGTGCTCCCTGTCATCAACGCATTCGTCGTCCGCCTACAGCAGCTGCCGCAACACCGTATCCCCTTCGTGACCGTCGCTATGGTGGATGGATAGAGATGGGATCCAGGAGGGATTCTGTTGACCGCGCGCACGCGCTGCTCTCGATCACCAATTCAACCATCGGATCGGGAGGAGCGCCGTCGGCCGAGCGAATGAAGCAGGATCGATCGGGGAAGGTGGAGGACGAGTGGCGGCGGCCGCCGGGGGATTGATTTCTACCTGCTACTAGCTAGATCTACAGCGGAGCATGCTGCATGCGGGGACTGCGGACCCGGGGCCCTCCTAGCCGGCCGCTCCGCACCGCCCAACGCCCAAGCGCGCGTTTCCGGACCTAATTCTTTTTTTTTTAACTTATTTCCGGACCGAATCTCTATATACCATCTCTGCACCAAAAACGGACTAACAGATAGAATCACGTCGCCCGCAAATCCGTTAGCCGTTGGATCGGATGGAAACATGTCAGCCTATTCGTTTGGCTGTGACTTGTCGTAAATGATCGTAAATTTCTAGCCGGAACAATATTTTTCTATCACACAAACCAACCAACAGTATTTCTTCACGAACCCGCAACGAAACAAAACAGCCAACCGAACGGGCCGATGACATGCAGCCTGTTCGTTTGGCTGTGGCTTATCGTAAACGATCGTAAATTTCCAACCGAAACAGTATTTTTCTCTCACACAAATCAACCAATAATACTTCTTCACAAACCAATGATACGAACCAGCCAACCGAACGAACAGGATGTACCGTTCGATCGGGTTCGTTGCGGGTCTCTCACGCATTAAGCCGTCAACCGGACGGTCGCGAACCCGCTCGCAGACGACTCGTCCTCTCCGCGGTGCGTTTCCCTCCGCCGCCCCACGCACCTCCCTCCTCCCCGGCAGGCAAGGGCGGAGCGGGCGACGCCGGCGGCTCTTGGCGCAGGCGAACTGAGCGGGGTGTGGGGCGGGATGGCTCGCACGTTTCTCCGCCGGCCATACCTCCTGCAGTCCTGCCCCGCCCTCCACCCGCCGTCCGCCGCCATCCTCTTAGCCCTTCAACCATGGGTCTCGCAGCCACGGCCTACGTAGGTCACTGACGAGCATGTGTTCCGCCTCCAGCCTGTCCACTGCGATCCCAGTCCCATCGAGACGCTGGCTGATTTACTCGCCTGCAGCATGCTGGGCACCAGCACGACCGGCTGCCTTGGGCACCAGCATGCGGAGGGCTTCTCCGCAACATTAGGCCGGAGCCACGAGCTTCCCGGCGGCGGACTGCGCGTCCAGGACAACAGCCTCGCCACTCGACAAGTCCGACTACGGAACCTACAGCTGCATGGGTCTTCGCCTCCCTCCTCAATCTGGTCAGTTCAACTTCAGAATTCGCCTCACACCTGAGTAGTGAGTACTAGTATTTTGCCAGATTATTTGATTGTCTAAACTCTGTGCTTAACTTAAAATTTATACTCTTACGAGGGATTATTCTGTGGCAGATGGGTATCTGAATGAAATATCCTTTTTGATCGGTATGGATCCTTTGGGTGCTCTCTTGGATAAGAATTTGAAGTTTGATAACCTAGGGAGTTTCATTCCATTTATGAAATGTAAAAGCTATAAGCATACACGAACAAGACTTGTTGCTATCAGATTCTAATGCCTGTACCTGAGAATTGTCAGAGGTTCACCAAAAGAAAAACAGAGAACAGAGGTGCTTTTGTAGTTGTTTGCTACTCCTTGTCTTGCTTGATAATTGCTTAGAAGTTAAAAATTT